GATGTAGATAAAAAAAACTGAATGGGTCAAGGAACGCCATAAGCAGTTGTCTCTAATTGATGAAAGAGATTAAATGCTATCTGTTATGGAGAATGTTATCAATAAAAAAATGACTCATGCTTACAACAAAAAAAATTAAGCCTCGCCTATTTGAAGTAAGAGATAAGGTCTTAAACGAATTCTTCCAATTCAGGAGATGATTAAAGGAAAATTTGCTCCAAATTGACAAAGACCATTCATTGTTAAAAGAGCACTACCCGAATGAGTGCTTATTATCATGGACATAGATGCGCAAGTTTTTCCTTAACCAATCAATTCAAATATATGCAAAAAAATTTTCATTTGATTATAAAAATTTTCTTTTGAAATTATTGCAAAAGATGGGCTTAGGGCGGGCCTTCTTTCTTTTTCATTTGGACATTTTATCCCCAGTTTTCTCCTTCGAACTTCCAAAATAATTTACTCTTTTTGCTTGACTACCCCCGAAGTTTGCAGACCGCACATTTTCACAAAAAAAAGAAAGAAGAAAAGAAAAAGAAGAAGAAAAAGAAAAAAAAACAAAACAAAATAAAAAATAAAAAGTGACTGAAAAAGAGAGAGAAAAAAATTGAGAAGCCTGGTTAGAATTAAATTGGGACAAATTTTTTAGTTCTTATCAACCTTACATTGAGGCAAATTTTGAAAGATTGCATTCTTAAAATTATTTCAAACCCATTTTATGACGGAACCCTTGTTGCTGCCCGAAAAATAAGGAACCCTTGTCTAACTTGACGTCTGCCGTCTCTGCAGTTTGGGCTTCGACCATCAGCTTCCTCTGATGGCTGCGGTGGTTGCCCAGGCCTCTGGTGAGGATGGGCAACCGTCTGCGTCCCAGTGTTCCGCACGAGACCTTCTCCGAGCTTTCTCTCCATCTCAGCAGCGAGTGCATGTCGCAGCGACGCAGGCAACTCACAGGGGGGAGCCAGTAATCTCCTTCACCCATTCTGATATTGAAGCGATTGCACAACCTTTCTATTTTGCACTGGTAGGTAAATTCGCTTGAGCCTGACCTCGCATGGATGATATTCGGAAGTTTTTATGCTCGCTCGACTTGAAGGGCTCTTTCTCCGTTAGCTTGCTGGATGCACAGCATGTCCTCATCCATTTGTACACTAAGGCGGACTTCTTGCGTGTTTAGACGCGTAATGTCTGGTACATTCTTGGGAGTGCTATGAGGGTTTTCAAATGGGCCACAACCTTTCATGTCGATAGGGAATCTGCGTTGGTGCCAGTGTGGTTCAGTTTGCCGAAACTACCGGTCCATCTTTTCGATAAGCAGTGTTTGTTCCAGATTGTGTCTTGCCTGGGACGGCCACTTTTCGTCCACTCCGCGACCGCTACGATTTCCAGACCCAGCGTGGCTCAAGTGTGTGTCGAAATTGATCTTTTAAAGGAGTTGACGTCGCGCGTTTGGATCCAGTTAGGGGAGGACCATGGGTTTTGGCAGCCCCTTAATCCAGAAACTTTACCGAAGTACTATGTGCATTGTTATCGTCAAGGCCATGACCAATCTGAATGCCATATCAAGTATCCGAAGCTTAGGCGAAACCTGGGGGAGGTTAAGGTAGCACGGGACAGCCACCGCGTGGTGCCTTCGTGGGAGGAGCAAGACCTAACAGTGGGTCATGGGCGTGGGGAGAGCATGCAATAGGGGGTATGGTAGGGGTTACTGAGGTGTCACGGGCTGGAGTGGAGCAGCCTGTAAAGGGGGCTGCTGCCATGCTGGAGGCTAAGATTGACATTGCAAACATGGGTGTAACGTCTGGGCAAAGGCGGGCTGGTGTTGAGCAACCTGTTGCAGGCGAGGGGAAGGAGGTCGCACAGCACCAGGCTGTGGGAGAAGGGGTTCGGCAAGGAGATGAGTTCAGAGCCGCCGCAGCTACACTAGCGGAGAGCGCAGTGAATGCTGCAGCTGACGCCATAATTACTGATTTGGCTAACCAGGTTGCCGGTGAAGCTGTGTCCGTGCATGGGGAGGAGGAAGAGGAGGGCGAGTTCCGGAGGGGCGGGTTGTGATTATGGTAGGGGAGATGGAGGCTAATGGGCTGGCGGATGGAGTAGCTTCCGAGCCTGCAGCGAGAGCTTTGGTGATTGACTTGGGCCGACTAGAACCACCCGTAGCCGGCGCTGACATTGTTTCGGACGGCTTTTGAGCTGAGGAGGAGTTAAGGAAGGTGCAAGGGAGGGTGGGTAACCTATCTCCGAGGGCTGAACCGCAGAAGGAGAAAATGGGTCGCCTGCTTTCAACCTCTTCGGCATTGAATCTAGAACTTGAGGTTCTTTTGCAATCCATGAGAAGTCAGGATGGGAGTCTTCTAGTGGCCCATTCCAAAAAGAGAGGTACGCGGGTCAATTTCGAATCTGATCAGACTTTACGTTCTAGGGTTATTTTGTCAACTACGTCTTCCTCTAAGTTGTCTAATGATTAAGTTCCTATTTTGGAATATTCGAGGTGTTTCACATGCCCCTAATTTGAAACGACTCCGTAAACTAGTTAAAATGTATTCTATTTCTTTGATAGCAATTTGTGAACCTAAGTCTCCTTTGTTAGACATGGATAGGATTCGTGTTAAGGTGGGAATGGATTGTGCGGTTGCAAACAGGTGGGGGAGCGTTTGGGTGTTTTACTAGTCTGCATTTTCTTGTCGCTTGATTGGGGAATCTGATCAACACCTCACATTATTCATCGGATCCTAGTTGATAGCTGAGGAGATTTATTTTTCCTATGTCCATGCCAAATGCACGGCCCACGAAAGGGAAAGCTTATGGGCACAGTTGCTGCGTGACAAGCCAGAGACACGGCTATGGGTCCTAGTGGGGGATTTCAATGTTATTGTGAGTGCGGAGGAGAAAAGGGGTGGATTACCTTTCAAGCAATCCGAAGGGGTTGAATTATCGCAATTTATGTCATTGACAGAGGTGGGGGATGCTGGATTTTCCGGATCTAAGTATACTTGGTGCAATAACAGGCAAGGAATGGCTAGGGTGTGGAAGATGTTGGATAGATTGTTGCTCAATTCGGCAGCCATGAAATTGAAAAATACGGTTGTCGTTCAGCACTTGGGGAGAGACCCATCTGACCATGCCCCCCTGTTGCTTTCGACGGTGACGAGATTGAATGGTAAGCCAGTGCCATTTAGATTCTTGAATGTTTGGGTTGCAAAATCAGGTTTTCTAGATGTGGTTAAAGAGAGCTGGTCTACCGTCTTCACGGGTTCGCCCTTCACAGTATTGTTAGGTAAACTTCAACGGGTTAAGCAGGCACTTCGCCAGTGGTCCCATAATTCGTTTGGTGACATTTTCTTAGCAATATGAACGGTGGATCAGAGAGTGCTTGATGTCGAGATATCACATGACAATCATCCGTCGGACGAATTACTAGTAACCTACAAGAGGCCCGTGCTCGTTTGAGGAATGCTTTGGTGGTGGAAGAAGAATTTTGGAGGCAGAAGGCTCATGTTAAATGGCTGTGCGATGGGGATAGGAATACGAGGTTTTTTCAAGCTGTAGTGACTGAGAGGAGAAGGAAGTCGGTTATTCATCGTATTAGGAAATCAGATGGTGTCTGGGTAGATGATGAGTCAAGCATCTGTAATGAGGCCGTTAATTTCTTTCAGACACTATTTACAGAAGATGGAGGAATGACATCGAGTGATATGTTAGAGGTGATCCCAAGGCTCCTCACTGAAACTGACAATGGGATGGCTCCATCATTGCAGGAAGTTAAGGATGTCATCTTCTCAATGGGCGGCAAGAGTGCGGCGGGCCCGAATGGCTTCACCAGTAGGTTTTCACAGCCGCCTGGGAGGTGATCGAGGAGGATGTATACAGGGCTATATTGAGTTTCTTTTGTGGTGCAATGTTGCCTAGGAGTATCATCACGACTGCAATTGTATTGCTTCCCAAGGCTCCCTGACCACAAGACTTCACACAATTCCAGTCGATAAACTTATGCAACTTTGTTAACAAGGTTATTTCCAAGGTTCTCTCTTTCCACTTGGCTCGGGTCCTTCCCCATATTATCTTCCCGCAGCAGAGCAGTTTTGTGCCAGGGCGGCAGATGGCGGATAATTTTCTATTGGCTCAAGAGATGTTGAGTGATATTAACAGACCCAATCGAGGAGGGGATGTGATGCTTAAACTGGACATGATGAAGGCATATGACAGGGTTTCTTGGCTTTTCTTGCTCTAGGTGCTAAGACGGTTTAGGTTTAGCGAGAAGTGGATTGATATGATTTGGCGTCCGATCTCGAACGTCTGGCTCTCCATGATTGTGAATGGTTTGCCACACGAGTTCTTTAAGTCCACACGAGGTCTACGGCAGGGCGATCCACTCTCTCCAGCATTGTTCATTATTGGAGCGGAGGTCATTTCTCGGTCGCTGAATGCTCTGGCGAAGCATAAGAAATTTAAGCCATTTAGAACTCCTAGTGGATTCCCTATGGTCACTCATTTGGCTTTCGCTGATGATGTCGTGATCTTTACGAGCGGCCTGAAGGCCTCTATACAATTGGTCAAGAAAGTGGTGGATGGATATTGCTTAGTTTCGGGGCAGCGGGTTAATTGTTAGAAGAGATGTTTTTTAGGGCAACCCTCGATGCCACCGCGGCGCCGAGCTCTGATCGGGTTGATAACAGGGTTCTCATATAAGCAATTCCCGATCAAATATCTTGGTTGTTCCTTATACGTTGGAAAGCGACGGATGAGTTATTTCGCATATATCTGCACTGCAGTTACCTCTCGTATATTGTCCTAGAAGCATAGGGTGCTTTCTACGGAGGCAAAGTGATATTGTTGAAGAGCGTCTTGTCGTCCATGCCTATCCACTTGTTAGCAGCAGCGTCTCCTCCAAAAGGAGTTTTCGCGTCACTAGAAAAGGTGATGGCCGACTTCTTGTAGAGTTCGCAAGGGGATGGCCCTAGGCACTACTAGATAAGCGGGGGGATTTGTGCAGGCCACAAATGGCAGGGGAGATTGGAGTTTGCAGCATGGCAAAGGTGTTTGATGCCTTCTTCGTTAAGCTCTGGTGGAACTTTCGACAGAAGAAGTCTCTATGGGCGGAATGTCTACATGCTAAATATTGCAAGGGGGTCCATCCTTGCCTGGCAGAAGAGGGTGCGGCACAGTCTCACATCTGGCGGAGGTTGTGTTCGGTCCAGCGCTTAGCGGAGGAGCACATTAGCTGGATTCTATGGGAGGGTTCAATGGACTTCTGGCATGACAATTGGTTGGGTTTAGGTGCTTTATACCAGGAGGTGGAGATTTTTCAGGAGCACAGGGTGTCGGATTTTGTCTCTCAGGCACAGTGAAATTTTTTATTACTTCACCAGGTTCTGAGACAAGGACGAATTGAGCGCGTGGCGAAGATTCCTTCCCCCTCTCCTTGGAGCTCTGATAGGATGGTGTGGGCCTTAGCATCTGATGGAGCTTTTTCGGTATCCTCGGCTTATTCACTTGTTGAGCAGGAGGACAACTGCTTGTGGGTGTTCTCGCAGGTTTGGCTCGAAGGTTGCCCAATCAAGATATCCTTCTTAATGTTAAGACTGTTGCGGCTCTGCATTCCCCTGATAGGTCTCCTTCGACATGTTGGGGTACAAGGCCCCTCGAAGTGTCATTGTTGCGCTGAGCCAGAAGAGGAGGAGGTTAATCACATTTTTTGTACCGGGGAACTAGCCCAGGCAGTTTGGGGTATATTCCAGTGTAGCTCAGGGGAGCCTGTGGTGTCCTCATTTAGACATATGGCGATCAGGTGGTGGCTGCAGCGGGGGCAAAATAAGTATGTTAAGTTCGTTTATCGCCTCCCACCGATGCTGGTCTGTTGGGAGTTATGGAAAGTAAGAAATAGGGCAGTTTTCGATGGGAGAAAGATGGGGTGTACGGAGGTGGTGGACCAAGTACTTCAACAGATCCAGGTATTATTCCATTGCCACTTCCCGGGGATACTGTGGTCCTTTGGTTCTTGGGATGATTTTCATTCTGCTGTGTCTGGGCTAAGACGCAAGGTTTCTATTCTTCCGGTAAGCTAGGTGGCCCCTGTGGCAGGGTTTAAGCTGAACTCAGATGGCTGTGCTAGGGGAAACCCAGGGACAAGCGGGGACTGGGGCGTGGTTCGGGACTGCAAAGGGCAGGTCGTCCTTGGCTACTTATGTTTCTTCGGTTCTTTGACGAGTTTACATGCGGAACTTGAGGCCATGCTTTTTGGAGTCAGGTTATGTGTCACTCGGGGCTTGTAGGGGTTGCAGATTGAGACTGACTCGCTCAGTTTGGTGAGAATTATGCAGGGGTGATACGATAGTCTGTGGAGGCTGTAGCGGTAGGTGGATGAGTTACTAAGCTATCAGCAGCATTTTCGAGAGATTACTCACTGTTATAGAGAGGCGAACGAATCCGCGGACTACTTAGCCAACTGGGGGGCAGATGTAGGGCATGACTGGATTTTTAACCGCCAAGGCGACTTGTCGGTCGTTGTCCAGGGGGAGATTTTCTTGGATCGATTGGGTTGCCCTAATTTTCGTAGGAGATTTTTATGACTTTATTGGTTTCCCCTTTTTGATCAATAAAATTATACTGTTATATGTTTAAAAAAAAAAACCCATTTTATGATCTATCTTCAAATCTTAACCTTTTCTTTACACTTTACCGGATCTCATTACAAATGTCAAAATGTTACCGACCTTGATCTTTTGCAATATTTTTTTGAGAAAAAATTTTCTTAATCAATTGGTAAATGAAGTAAATACATCTTTTCTAGAACCTGCCAGAGAAGATTGTCTCAATGATACCACTAATTGTCAGAAAAAATGATTGGATTGATATAGTTGGGGTTAAAATTATTTATTTCATTTCATAGTCTTGTCCATATCTCAAGTTGAAAACTCGAAATGGCGCATTTACCTTCAAAAATAAAAGAGAAGAAGAAAAAAATGAAGAGAGAAAAGAAAAAGGATAAAAAGAAAAGAAAAGGAAAATGAAAAAAGGGTGGGGTAACCTTAGTGAACACCCGAAAGGGCGCTAAGCAGCTAAGGTAGGATTTTGGAACATAAGAGAATCATAATCGGAAGGCAAGATGTTGAGGCTCAAAAGCTGATAATTATGTTCATTTGGTTTCTTTTCATACTGTTATTCTTTTGTCAGTACTGAATTCTAGTTAGATGACATCATAAGAGCTCAGTTGGGACATTTTTCTTCATCAATGGTCATCTGTCCAAATCAATAGCCAAATCTTTAGAGTCCTTGGATTTTTTTTATATCAACGTTTACTTCATGTCTACGTCATTGTGTGATAAATGTTGTGTTTTTTCAATGTTTATGTATCTCATTCATGTCTTTAGATTTTGCCCAAAAGACAATCCTTGTAATTTATTGTAAAGAGTCATCAAAAATGGATGTCCTAGGACAATGAAGCGTGGATGATTAGTACTAGAAAGTTGCAAAGATTCCAAACAAGTTGCAGAATAGATCTAAGGAGGCAATTTCTCGGCATTGAAAACTCATGTTTACATGGTTCTCAAGGCCAAAGGATCACATGGTAGTGGTATTATTTTTAATCAGGATTGTTCTTTTTTCTCTTGTAGATAGGATTATGCGATCGTTGTTGTACCTTTCTGAAGGCATGAAGGCGCAGCAATTGTTAAGCACAGTTTACACTAGGGCAATTTTTAAAAAAGGGAATGATCTCTAATTTCAATGATGCATTCAAAATTTGTTTCAAAAAATAAGGGTTTCTTAAAGGATAATAACATGTGTACATGTTTTTCCAATCTCCTAAAGAAATTTTTGCATATGTATTCTTTTCAAACTACAAAATATGTCACTTTCAGTTTTCTTTAAAAATCTATTTCTTTCCTCTTCTTATTCAAAAAATTCAATCATTGAATAAGTTTGTCATGGCATGTATTACGTTTGACCGACTTGTGTTTTAATTTAGAAGTTCTGAGAACTCAGACTTCTTTGTTCTACAAAAATCCCAAATGGGTGATGCACTTGTTTCATCATAGTTTATTTGTATTTGAACAACATTTGACCTGATTCCCATGATAGGATACGTAGGTAGTTCTACACGAGTTCAGTCACGTCTTTTGTAATTTTTTTATATCATTTGTCTAATAATTTTTTAACTAGGTATTGGCTTGTTTATTTTATTTTAGGTGCAGTTAGAAGAGAGAAGTAAGCAATTTGGTATGTTCATTTTTATCTTCAACTTCTTCGAAACTCCAGACAAAGAAAAGCAAGTTATAGATATCAAATTTATGTCAATTTTTAATATTCTCTTGAATTTTTATCTATTTAGGGGTCTTTTATTTTCATGCATTTTAATGTCTTTTTTTCTTACTTTTGTAGCTTTTTTAAGAAAAGAGAAAAGAGAAAAGAGAAGAAAAGGAAAAAAAACTTAACAAATTTTTATCAAACTTACTCCCTAATATTTTTTTTTTCCACTAACACACTATTGAACCAATTTAACACTCCACCTCCCACATGTTTTGTTGATTTTTTTTTTACCAAAAAACAATCGTCACCTCTCACAACCAAACACTTCCACCCCTCCCATTCCCTCTCTCGGTTCCCTCTCTTTTTCTTTTATTGTACACACAACATAATTTTCTTTCCTCCTATTGGACACTCAACTATTACAACAACTCCACCAATTCTCCTCTCTCTCAACTCTATCTCAATTTGCACGACACACACTAACACAAATCTCTCTCTCTCGACTTCCTCTCTCCCTCTCCCAAGTTGTTATTGTCACACACACTACACTCACCAACACACACAAGCTAACAAAAAGAGAGGATAAGAAAATGGAGAAAAGGAAGAAAGTTGTTGCTGGAAATCTATCACCACCACTATTCAATTTTTCTTGAAGGTACCAAAAAAAGGAAAAAAAAAAAAACTCCTCAATCCTCTTTGCTTCTAGTACTTAGTTTATTTTGTGAAAAATGCTAAATTATATTTTTCGTTGCTTTTAAGCTTCTTTGTTTGATGTTTGTTGATGCTTGAATGTCTGGAGCTTGGGGTTTGGATTAAGTTTCATTTCTTGCAAAAAATTTGAGGCTGATTACTTTAAAATTCTTGCAAAATAATCTATGTTTTTTATAGCCCCCAACCTGTTTGATAAAGTGCTTATATGAAAGTTTGGTGGAAGAAATGAATCTCTTGCATTTTGTTTGTTGGAATAGTTAGTTTGACATAAAGCATGGCTATGACTCTGAGCTTTTTTCTTTTTTTTTTTTTTGAAGTTCAAGCAAAAACCCAGCAAAATATAATTTTCCAAGTAGGGGCTGTTTGGCTCATAATGCCATTTATTCATGCTTTTTTTGAATAAAAAAATTACAACTGTGAGTGTCTTAAGGATCCCAAAGATTTATTTTGCTATATTTTTCATGAATGTTGGTGATGGTTTGGTTGAGTTTTAAAAATAATGGTCCGGCAGTAAATTGCTTGTTTGGGCATTCTTAGTTCATTTTTTGCAAAAAAAATATAAGGGCAGAAATGGATTCTACATGAAAATTTGAGTGAGGAGACATATCTTGATGACACCATTGGCATTGCCATGGTCGCTGGCGAGGAGTTGCAAGTGTGATAGATAATGAAGAAGATGAAGAGAGGGGAAGAAGATGACAAAAAAAAGAAAGAAAAGAAAGAAAAAGATGGGTTTGTTTCTTTTAAAACATTGGGCTAGTGTTTGTTTCTTGCTTGGGTTTGTGTTTTCTTTTTGTTGGATTTGGTTCTAGGTTTGGAGTTTAAGCCCAATGTCTTTGTTTAGTTAATTGAGTTTATTGGCTTTTTCAACAAGACAATCTGCATTGTTTTCTTTTAGGTCAAAGTACTATGGCCCAAATATTAAAAAGTGACCCAAATTGTTTTATTTGTATTTTTCTCAAATTAGAAATCAAAATTTGTAATTTAGCCCCTAATCTTTTGAGTAATTTTTTTGTGGCCCAAAAATTTTAGATTTCTTTTATTTTGCAAATTATATTTTGACCCAAAAACTTTCTAATTTTGATAATTTAGTCCCTAGTGGCTAGAGGTGTCAAAATGGGTGATTTGGGTGGGTTAAAATGGATATTGGGTATAAGTGAGTCAACCCATTTATATTCATTTAATTAGATGGGTATAAATGGATAAGTCAAAAAATGAATTGAGTAACTCAATTACCCATTTATAACCCATTTATTTTAACTTTTTGTAAATTCATTTAAATTCATTTTTGTAAACTAAGTTCTTAATTTATATCACCCTTTGCACCCATCATTAGTTTTAAATATTTACTTATAATGCTCAATAAGTCTAATTACCAATTTTTATTCCATTCATACTCTTTGTCGCAAAATTACATCCTATTTAATAATTTAACAATAAGAATATAAAATTTTGAATTAAGTACTATAAAAGTTAACATAAAATCTTAATTCAAAAATTTGGAACCCCTAGCATTTTTTCGTGTGTAAATTTAAAATTTCATTTTGGAAATATAGGAAAATAAGCTAAAACTTGTTATAAATTGGTATTGATGAAAAATGAGCAAGTTAACAAACTAAGAGAAAATTAAATGATAAAATAAAACCAACAAATAATAATAATAATGAAATAAAAGTAGTTAACATCGTGATAAAATGAAAAATCTGAAAAAGAAAAAGGTGGGGGAAGAGAGGAGGTTTTGGGAAAGACAATTCTAAATGGGTTAATTGGATTTGATGGATGACCCAATAATACTCAATAATATCCAATAAATAGGTATTATTGGATAATCCATTTATGCCTACAAAAATTTAAGATACCCATACCCATCTATTTATGGTCAGGTATGGATAAATTTAGTTAAATGGGTTTGTTTGCCACCTATGCTAGTGGCTTTTTGATTTCTCTATTATGATTGTTTTTTTTCTTTAATTGTTAATTATGTTACTCTTGAGTACATTTAACTTGTAATTTTTTAATGTTTTTAAGTTTCTTTGTGTGTTTGACATAATAATGAGAGTTTAGTACATTTTTATATTTTTTAATATTTTCAATTAAATTGATGCCATGATTCTTTTGTTGATTTTGTGCATAATAGAGCATTCTTGTCTAATTATAGTCTATTTCTTCAATAGTGAGGTATTCCTATTATCCTTCAAAACTTTGATAATGTGTTCCTATGCGCTCTTATGTACTCGTATGTGTTTACATGTATTTATATATTTTCTTTTATTTGTTTATTTTAAATTTCTATTCAATTTTTAAGTGTATTTAG